ATTTTTACAAAAATAATCTCATAATTAAATTACAATAAAGGACTTTTTCTTTTAAGTCTATTTTTAAATAGAGAATTTTACAGATATTCCTATTATAGACAATTGATGTATTACATGCAAAAATAATTATTAGAAATAGCAAAAATAGTCCAGTTTTTTATCTAAATTGAATGTCGAATGGCATTTTCTATTAGTAAAAATCCTGTTATCAACTCCAAGATTTCATATCTTTGATCATTAAGATGAAAAGAAATTTCTCTTTGAAACTAAGTAAAATAAATTTGCTTCTTTACATTTGAGTCGATATATCGTTGGAAGAATGTAACCTACTTAAAGATTCCTTGAAATTAATAGTGAATTCAATTAACACTCTATTCAAGTTTTAAAATCCTGAATGCCAGTATTTCAATCAAAGAATATAACATTAACAAATGGGATGGCAGAATTTAGACAATTTTGCAACTCTTAGAATGGATTGAAATAGAGTTCCACTTCATTCAATCTTTATTATAGAAAAGATAAAAGTGAGTAAATCAATAAGGGTTAAGTAATATAATCTAAAAAAAGTGCAATCTGTACCCTTTAGAAATTTAATTAAAGTCCAAAGATTATATAATACAATTCAAGAAGAAATATAAAAGTTGGAAGTTCGGTATCTGCACATTAATCATCTAATAGAGGAAATAAAGTTAAATTATAATGAATACATAACCATCTGAAATAAAATCATAATATTTAGAGAATATAATCTATCATAAAAGCAACAACAATAATTCAAACTTAATGAACATAGTTATCAATCGAAAAGTAAAGTAATATTAAAAAAAGTAGGAAGCAAAAGTAATACAAAGATATCGTAAAAAGTATTTAAAAAAGTTGTGTAAATTCTGTTCTAATTGAAAAACATTTTTTAGAATATTTTTATCATCCTGTCCTTGTTAGTATGTCATATGCATTATAAGACAGGGGCAATCTATATTTTAGGTTATATCTTAATAAATGGTATTATACATAGAGATTTAAAACAATTAAATCTAGTATTAGAGAAAGATGGATATATGAGATTGACTGATCTATAAGTGCACATATAAATGAGAGAAACAATGTTGGAGATATTACTGACATCCAAAGTGATTTGTAGAATGAATTGTTTTATTGTTGCAGATGATTTTTCATTAAGAGTTATAACATATGAATTAATGCATATAATGGTAGAACAAGATAAGATATTCATCTAAGTTAAATAAATATAAGCAAGAAGAGAAGAAAGAGCTTATTATTGGAATGAAAGTGATATTATTTAGATTAATTTACTGTAATGCAGTCTATATTTATTTAGATACAGTTAATTTAATGTAAACCTGAAAAAAGATTAAGAACTAATGATATGGAAGAAATACTGGCTCAAAGGATTTCAAATGGAATGATCTTTTAAAAAAGAAATTAACAGCTCTTTTATCAAAGGAGAAATAATTGAATGGTGAGCAACAACTTGAAAATCAAGTAATTTTAAATCGAGGTACTGTTTAAAGTAAGTATTAATGGCATAATTTGATGGTTATAAATATGATGCTCTTCCCTCAAAATTATAATATTAATAAACTCAAAAAAAAATT